CAGACTCTCGCCGAACGACACTGTGAAGAAGGGGACTGTCCAAGACAGGCGACCACTTCACTTAACTGTTCAGAGACGAGGAGTTGTGAACTTATCATACAGGAAGGGATGATAGGAAGGACCGTGGCAGTGAAACACACTCCATCGAAGAGAGATACGGAATCTGGTATCAATGGGATGCATTGAAACCACTCGGGTTTGATCCCTACAGGTTCCGCGATATTTGCTCAGGCTTGGCTTTGTTCTTCTCTTATATCGTTACAGCGTTTGTTTTGAGTTACCCGCTGGTTTGCTGACTCTCTTTATCACCAGCGTAGCTAGTTCCATTATCAATTCCTTGCGTGTGAAACAAATACTCCGGCAGGAGATAGGGTGGAGCCCGGCCCAGTAAGTCCTGTTTACATTATTCGTGCCGGGGATTCCCTGAGGAGCACTCGATGCGTTAGAAAGCGCTGAATCCATTCTAGCGCAGAATACGAGGTGGGAAAGAAGGGAGAACTGGCTAGAAGTTTTGCATACTTAGATATTCGCACACCAAGGAACTCCACAATAACAAAAATAGGTAAAGGAAAATTATATTTGAAAAGCCAAAACCAGGGCAGCAGCAGCAAACGTGATTTAGGTTAACCCAGTCTTGATTTATTTGTCGATGCATACCGATCTTGGTTATAGGAAATGGATAAAACAAAATTATAATAAGTCGCACTTCGGAGTCGATCGATCGATGTCAGTTCCTTTATAAAAGCTGACAGTTTCAGATCATGTCGATCCCTTCTCAAAAATATCATTAAAACACATTCGTTTACCATGTGTTTTCGTGATAATCTTTGAAAAGGGGTCGAGATGATCTGAAACAGCTTTTTAAACGCATACACATCAATCCATCGACTCTGAAGTGTTTCGTTAAGTTCGTTGAGCTTTGTTCGTAAGTTCGTTGATGACCCCCCCCCCCACTCCCACTTCAAAGTGTGGTTAATAATCATTATCAATGCGAATTTAGTGCATTTTCTTTAAATATAAACAATGCATAAGTATTACTTTGAAACGCTAGGTGGCTAGTCAAACGGATAACAAGCAGAGCAAGAAAAGGCCAGACGACAGACCCTACTGGAGACCGCGCTGGCAACGATAACTGCCCGGCGGAAGCCGTAGGACACCGGGTAGATAGCTCGCCTCCACCGGAATACCAGACAAAACGGACGGCCAGCTAAGGAATGTTCCATGCCTTGGCAAACAAAGACATGGATATATACTATAGACACTGACTATCAGCACTCGTCGCCACTCCAGGCCACCGTATTTTGAGCGCCGTTTGAGGGTACTGTCGTCTCTGTTGTAAGCACGCCTTATCAGCAATCAATGACGTCACTCTGACGTCACACGAAGTTCCGGGTGATCGCAACACCATGTTCATTTACAATGGATTCCGGTTCGCGCGTCCTGCATAAACACTTCCTGATAGAGGATTAGCTAAAGCTGTGTCGGAAAACGGACATCCTCCTGGCACTCAGGAGACCCAACGGAAATAATCGGACGTCATTCATTCACTATTTCCTCTGTCTAGCCATTCACCAGCTTGCCGTATGTTGCTGATTAGCAGACACCCACATCCGCCCGGTTTAATGACATACCCTCCCCCCCCCCCCCCCCGGGGGGCGACTGTTGCAGCACAACGACATTCCTCACGGGTAGCCCACATTCCAAACCGGCATAGCACCCCCCCCCCCCCCCCCCTCCCGTCCCCCCTCCCTCACGGCGGCACAGCCCACCAAGGGGTGGCCACGGCATGCCCGGTCGAGCACGGGCAGGGCTTTGTCCCGCGTCTGGGGCACTGTATTGGAGGTGTCCCATTGTCTGTTTGTCATACCTACGTACGTCAATATACTCTCATTCAGCTGGCTTAACTACCAAACCAAAACGCACAAGGTCACTTTATGGCGGAGTATAAACCTCTCTACATTTCGATGCACAGGCTGGATATACGAATATATTCACAAGAGGCGTTGCATTATTCGATACTTTTTAATATAGGCATTATCTAATCTTATTGGTCAACTCTCACGCTCACAGCAACGAGCATGGGGTGGCAAAGGAGGAATACAACATGCAATGAAAAACTACGGAGCAAAGCAATTACGAGAACAAATAGAGCATCAGGGTCAGGGACTCAAACTAACTGAACTATGGTGGACGCAATAGGAGCCGCATACCTCCCACCATGATAAAACAAATCGATGAAAACGGAATTCATCGCAGACCAATTCGATTAGAAACAAAAGTACCTACATACATAACTATACCAAGCTGCTCGCGAGTAAAGGCCAAGGTTCAACAAGACGATAATATTTAGCACTGCAGGACTTAATTAGTTATAAAAGGATTACAAAAGAAGAACGAAGACATTTTTAAGGATCCAGTGCTCTCCCTGCGCAGAGACGGGTAAAGGAGGGCTCCTCCACCGCTGACCTTTATCGAGTAAAGCTGCGGCCCGCCGAGCCATTTACATTCATTTCAGACGCGGTGACGGCGCTAATGTCATCCCGCCGGAGACCTACGGCAAGGCAATCTCCATTTCACGTCTTAACCGCATACTCGCGCATATTTGAACGTCGCGATGTGGCTTAATCTCTGTCATACATAGCTGAAATGGTCCGAGATAACATCACTTGTTTTCGCTACCGCAGGTATTTCTGAAGACGGTCTTTGGGCTCGGTGTTTGAAGACTAACTGTTCTACAGCCGTGTTGAGACGAAAGACTTCAACTCAGCTAATCTTCTTCTGTGATAATCTTCTTCTATGATAAACAGTAACTGAATAACTTCCAACAAGAATTCTTACAAAAAAGCATGAACCAAATCATCAACAGTCCATGACCCTCGCCCACCCAATGACCGGTTTTTCTGTCGCAATTTCATCCCGCCGAATATGTGATTTCCGCCACTGTCGAAACGCCTGTACTTGGACTGATCTGCCTCTCCAGAGTTCGGACGCCACCGGGGTCCGGTGGCGGTCCGTCTGATCTACGGCCTTTCATCTACCGTCTCCGCCCCCCCCCCCCCCCCGCCCCCGGCCTGAGGCACTCGCGGCGGCATTCGGCACAAACTCAGTTACCGCCAGCCCCGCCCCGTGGGGCAGCACGCTCACCTCCCTCTGCCCCTCACTCCCCTACTCTTTCTGAGTAGAAATACCCACGGGAATCCAGACCGGATGTCAGTACTTCCGGTCACCGGATGTTGCTACTTCCGTCCGCCAGTGTTCGAGCAGGGTTGAAGTCAATTTATAGAGTTGATTGAATGCAGAAAGGTGATGAAATTCGGGTGGTTCGACGCCAGATGGTTAATGCAGTACAGCGGAGTTATCTGACTTTGTTAGTGTTATGACAAGCATCCAGGGCTGTGGAGTCGGAGTCAGTGGTCTCCGACTCCACAGATCCAGGGGGGACCATGGGGGCCATGCCCCCCCCCCCTTGGGCCTCCCGGGGGCACCATCACGGAGGTTTTTTTAATTCATCACGGAGGTCACCGACGGGTGCTTCAACCCAGATGTCTCCTAATGGGGCACCGTCCAGAAGGTCTAGCGGTATAGGGTACCGTTTTCGGAGTCTCCCGGAGGCCCATTTCTGTCCCTCGCCTCGGGTGGGGCTATTTCCATCCCGAGGTACGCGGGGGCACCATCCCGAGGTCTCCGGTGGCACCATCGCGAGGTCTGGGGGCACCATCCTGAAGTCTGTCTCCGGAGGCACCATTCCGAGGTCTCCGGGGGCACCATTCCAAGTTTCCAGGGGCACCATTCCGAAATCCGAGGTCTGAAGGAGCACTCCCCGGGTCTGAGGGGGCAGCATCCCGAGGTATCAGGTCTCGTTCAAGGTTGTTGTGCACCTCATATTCACTCAGGGGTTTTCAGTCGAAGAGAACAGAACTATTTGACAAATATTTAAGATCACGCAATCAAAAAGTAAGTGGCCGAAATCCGTGGAATTGTTTAGGGGAGGGCACCAAATGCCAGCGAGCACCACAATACCGCATGCCCAGCCCCCCCCCCCCCCTTGACGAAATCCTGGATCCGCTACTGGTCGGAGTCGGAGTTGGAGTCGGTCGGAGTCTACATACATTTCTGCTCGGAGTCGGAGTCGGAGTCACCAAAATCTTACCGACTCAGAGTGAACGCTGCATGGCCCAACGTCATGCACCGCACCTGTTTGATTGACGATACTGCGCTCGAAATTAGATTTTGTCGAAAGAAAGGCCATTTTGTGATTTTGGCCGAACGTTTTCAGCGAAAGAAGCAAGGACGGTGAATTCCCCAGAACCTGCTTTTTCATTCTGCATGTTATTTTTAATGCATATTTGCAACGCAAAGCCTTGGAATGCACAAGGGATCATTTCAGGCAGGATAAAAACATCTCCATTATGAACTTCAATATTATGATATGGATTTTCACAGAACCTTCCAGAGTCAGAATTGGAGTTGGAGTCAGAGTCTATTTTTAAAGCTGGAGTCAGAGTTGTAGTCACCCTAAAATCCATCGACTCCACAGCCCAGCAAGCATAAATCTGCAGTAACAATTTTTCCTATTTAACTCAGAATTTTTATTTGATTAAATGCAAAAATATACAAGCAAGGTTACTTTCATATGCTGCCACTAATGCTAGGTGATGATTGAAGGGATATAATTGTGAGATTAAGAAGAGGATTTGATGACCTAAAAAGGCCATTACCTCATCACCTAACAATAATTTGCGTGCCCTTCATAAAGTCTGCTTACCCAGTATCTAGGACTTATACAGTTAGGGGAGCTGGGCTCATGGGCACATTAATGGTCAGACTTGAAACATTATTCTTCAATGAAAGAAAATATGTCCTTGATGACCTGTGAAAATGACTGACTCTGTGATAGGGGCATCCAGACAGAAAACTGGGCTGGCTACACAGCACCAAATACCAATGTGAGGCAGTCCCTCAGTCCCAGTCTCATCCAGCCAGCAGTGCAGCAGGCTCACCTCATGGGTGCTGTCTAGATAGAAGCTGGTGCTCACAGCAGACTTGGATCTGAAGGAGGGATGCCTCCTGGTGGTAGGTGATGTGATGAACTCCTGTGTCAAAACCACTGGTTCACCACTAAGGCGACTGATAGAGCACCACCTGAAAACAAACACAGGATGTCAGTGGCCACATAAAGGCAATGACCAAGAACTTTGGACCGAGACTATGACTCATCACTCAAATCAGCTTGCAGCGACAATCGATGAAAATACCCATTGGGGAAGATGGTCAATTATACACCCACAACACTGCTGCTGAGTGAATTGCACTTCTGAACAAAGATTTGGTAATGTTTGAAATGAAAAGGAAGTAATGATTTGTTACTTGATGCAATTTATCTGACCAATAATGTGTTTAACTTTTTAGTTGATTTACCCGGCCTTGTCATGCAACAATCTAACCACAACTAACTATGTACCACGGCCAAATATTTGAATGAATGTTTTACCGGTGATGTGAGTATTCAACATGCACATCAGTTAATATGCAATGATGATCATGCAGTGAAACTCTGAAATATCAAAACCGTCAAACATGACCGACTCAAGCACTTCACTTCATTTCAATTTCCTACAGCATCAATGACTAAGACCAAGGGCAGCCGGCAATATCAATCAGCGTTTTTATCAGCGTTTGAGATACCAAATAAGGCAAGCATACCTTTCAACGGTCACAATACCAATAAATCCATCTAATAAATTACCCCTGACACCCGCAATGCGACGAAGGCAGTGACAAAGTGCAAATATATCAAGGTTTTTGTATTGACTTTGACCTGAGCGGTAAAGCTACTGCAATAATTCGAAGAAAAATAATTCCGTTCACTCTTTACATCACCAGATAATCACAATAATTTATAAAGATGCTTTGAAGTGTTTATGAAGTCTAAATGATCAAATTGTATCGGAAAATAACCGCAGCTATGTTAAAACAGAGAGAAACATCAATTATAGAAGAAAAGAAAGAACTCACTGGTTTGATCACCAACCGCTCAAACACGATGCAGAAACTGGACAGAAATATTCATTTTCAAATAAAATCTTGTGTCTCGCTTCCAATGACAACAAAGACATTTCCTACTACAGCCCACAGCCTTCGTCATTATCCTCCTAACTCAATTTAGCTGCATTTTAACAGTAAAAATAACTGGCATAAATAACTTTACTTTCCTTCAATTTGGAAGCAGTCACGCATTGCTTACGAATATGGCGCAATATGGGCGTAGTCTTTTTTTTTCATTTTGCACACACAAAAGGTGTGTGTCTTGAGAGGTGTATGGTGGTGTCTGACTTTTTAGGAAGTAGGGGCATATTTATTTCGAAAATGCCGATTTTGAAGCGAAGCTGTTGTGGATGTGATCTCCAGAATGGGTCTATCATTGTGGGAGTTCTTACAATGGTAAGCTAATCAGAGATTGATCAATTATGCCTCTAGTTGTTGCAGGTGTTCATTGTCCTGGACCTGGACACTTGTCATGGGTTCTGACTTCTGAGCAGTGCTGCGGATTGCGGAGTTGGAGTCAGTCGGAGTCGATATTTCTGCTCGTAGTCGAAGTTGGGGTTGTCAAAATCTTACCAACCCTGACTGGTATCGGTAACCCTGGCGTCACCGGTAGTGTTTTCGTTCAATGCTAAGGTTTCCTGTATTAGGCTGCCGTGCCAAGCCGAAGCATGCTGTGACGTCACTGGGTAAGAGAAGATAACATACCACGCCATCAGTATCGACTGAGACTCATGATAGACTCAGACCGACTCAAGCAGACTCAAACTGACTCGACTGACTCAAACCGATTCAAATCGACTCAGACTGATTCAGAACGACTCAGAACAGCTCAAACTGACTCAGACCGACTCAAACGCCTCAAATCGATTCCCATCGACTCAGACAGACTCAGAGAACGACTCAAACCGACTCAGGTAGACTCAAACTGACTCGACCGACTCAAACTGATTCAGATCGACTCAAACCGACTCAGATAGACTCAGAATGACTCAAACTGACTCAGACTGAATCAACCGACTCAAATCGATTTCGATCGACTCAGACAGACTCAGAACGACTCAAACCGACTCAGGTAGACTCAAACTGACTCGACCGACTCAAACTGATTCATAGCGACCCAGCCAAACCGACTCAGATAAACTCAGAATGACTCAAACTGACTCAGACCGAATCAACCGACTCAACTTGATTCCGATCGCCTCAGACAGACTCAGAATGACTCAAACCGACTCAAGCAGACTCAAACTGACTCAGACCGAATCAACCGACTCAAATCGATTTCGATCGACTCAAACAGACTCGGAACGACTCAGACAGCCTCAGGCAGACTCAAGCAGACTCAAACTGACTTGACCGACTCAAACCAATTCAGATCGACTCAGACCGACTCAGCTAGACTCAGAACGACTCAAACTGACAGACCGAGTCAACAGACTCAAATCGATTCCGATCGACTCAGACAGTCTGTTGACTCGGTCTGTCAGTTTGAGTCATTCTGAGTCTAGCTGAGTCTCAGACTCAGGCAGGCAGACTCAGGTAGACTCAAGCCGACTCAACCGACTCAAACCGATTTAGACCGACTCAGACAGACCCATCGGTTTGACCTGAAACATCAGACCTGAATCGGTTTGAGTCGGTCGAGTCAGTTTGAGTGTGCCTGAGTCGGTTTGAGTCTGCCTGGTCTGAGTCGTTCTGAGTCTGTCTGAATCGATCGGAATCGATCTGAGTCGGTCGGAGTCAGTTCGAGACGTTCGAAGTCCATCTGAGTCGGTCTGAGTCGACCTGAATCGGTCTGAGTCTGCCTGAGTCGGTTTGAGTCTGCCTGAGTCGGTTTGAGTATGCCTGAGTTGATTTGAGTCTGCCTGAGTCTGTCCAGTGACGTACCCAAGGGGGGGGCCACGGGGGCCAAGGCCCCCCCCCCTGAGCGCCGAAGGCGCTCAGGGGGCCCCTCAGGCCCCAGGATATTTTTTAAACACTGGATAAAACGTCTTTTACTCGGAAGAAAAATTGATATGAAAGTTTCATTTATGTGCCCGGGGTACCCGAGGGGCCCCTGCAGTCATCCAAGGGCCCCCAGTTTCCTGGGCCTCTGGTCGCCTAGGGGGCCTCTGGTAGCCGGGGGCCTGGTCTCATGGGGGCCCCTGATAGCATGTGGCCCCTAGTCGCCTAGGGGGCCCTGGTCGCATGGGGGCCTCTGGTCGCATGGGGGCCTCTGGTCGCATGAGGCCCCTGATCGACTGGGGGCCCCTAGTTGCCTAGGGGGCCCTGATAGCCGGGGGCCTGGTCGTATGGGCCCCTGATAGTCTGTGGTCCTTAGTCGCCTAGGGGGCCCTAGTCGCATGGGGGGCCTCTGGTTGCATGATATTGAGGCCCCTGATCGCCTGGGGGTACCTAGTCGCCCAGGGGGCCCCTGGTAGCCGGGGGGCCTGGTCGCATGGGGACCCTGGTTGCCTGGGGCCCCCGGTCGCCCCTAGTCGCCTTGGGCTCCTGGTAGCCTGGGATCCCCTGGTCGCCTGGGGGCCCCTGATCGCCTGAGGGACGCTGGTCACCTAGAGGGCCCCTGGTCGCCTGGGGGCCCCTGGTAGCCGGGGGCCTGGTCGCATGGGGCCCCCTGGTCGCATGGGGGCCCCCTGGTCGCCCCTGATCGCTTTGGGGACCTGATCGCATTGGCCCTTGGTCGCCTGGAGGGCCCTGGTCGCCTGGGGCAGTGGGGCCCCTAGTCATCTGGAGGACCTGGTCGCCTGGGAACCCCTGGTCGACTGGGGGCCCCTGGTCGTCTGAAAGTACGCTTATCACCTGATTGATCCCAAATCATCTGAGTGGCTACTGGCTACTGGATATAAGTAGTGACTGGAGTAGGCACTCATCTGAAGGAGCCAATATCTTTCACGGTGCCGGAGATATCACAGAAAAACAAAAAGGCTAAACTGAATACCCCCCAACCTTGGCCCCAAAGGCGTCATTGGCTAACACAGGGATGTGGGTCGATTTGCAATCGCATTTCCTCCTAAGTCCTATTCCTCCAATTAATACAGAGTGTCCCAGAATTACCCAAGCATTTATTTTCTGGCTAAAAGTACAATTGGCTCGTTTCCTAGTGAAACATATAATAGCCGCGTTTACATAGGGCTAGTTGCCAGATAGTGGAATTCCGATAACGAGACATTTATTCCCCACTATTATATTATATACCTACATATCCGGAATTGGAGGATGTTCAGTACCTAATTGAGGCGCTCGCTCATAAAATGCCGTGCGTTTCATGCACACTCCTCAAGCAAAAATATTTTTACTTTCCAATTTTCCACATTTTCTCAAGGCTTAGACCGTTACAGAGACCGTTTTAATTGACTTTGATGAAGTTGAACGCGAGAAATCACAACCAAATGCTACATTAGGTTGTAAAGAACTGAATTGCGTTTTCCCACACACGTGGCGTTTTCTCACCTACGTCTGCAGGAGAGACCGGACCCACTATGCCCCCCCCCCCCCCCACCATCGAAAGGTTCTTCATGACTCCCGGGGGCCCCCGGGGAACCTGGGGGCCCTGTACACTGTGGGGGGGGGGGCCCTTCGAAAGCAGGTGGCCCCCTCCTGGGCGAAATCCTGGGTACGTGCCTGAGTCTGTCTGAGTCGTTCTGAGTCTGTCTGAGTCGATCGGAACGATTTGAGTCGGTTGAGTCGTTCTGAGTCAGTTTGAGTCGTTCTGAGTCTACCTGAGTCGGTCTAAGTCTATCTGAATCGGCCTGAGTCTGCCTGAGTCTCTCTGAGTCGTTCTGAGTCGATCGGAATCGATTTGAGTCGATCGGAAGCGATTTGAGTCGGTTGTCGGTCTGAGTTAGTTAGAGTCGGTCTGAGTCGATCTGAATCGGTTTGAGTCGGTTGAGTCAGTTTGAGTCTGCCTGAGTCGGTTTGAGTCTGCCTGAGTTGTTCTGAGTCTGTCCGAGTCAATCGGAATCGATTTGAGTCGGTCTGAGTCAGTTTGAGTCGTTCTGAGTCGTTCTGAGTCGATTTGAATCGGTTTGAGTCGGTCGAGTCAGTTTGAGTCTGCTTGAGTCGGTCTGAGTCTATCTGAGTCTCAGTCGATACTGATAGCGTGGTACGTTATCTTCTCTTACCCAGTGACGTCACAGCATGCTTCGGCTTGGCACGGCAGCCTAATACAGGAAACCTTAGCATTGAACGAAAATACTACCGGTGACGCCAGGGTTACCGATACCCCCTGACTCCGGAGTCGGAGGTAACGTTGCAATGGCTCAATATTATGCACTGCACCTGTTTTATTGACCACTGGCGGATCCAGGGGGGGGCATTTAGGGCCATGCCCCCCCCAAGGCTTAAAGTGGCCTGTTTGCCCCCCCTCCCCAAAAAAAAAAAAACGTCAGAAAAATTGCTAAGAAAATATACCTTGATGGAGGTTTTTAGCCACTTGGTGAAGTAAAGCTTTCCACAGAATAATATGGAAGCAATATCAAATATGGTAGCAGTGAGGGTCGGTCAAAAGTTGCGCGAGCGGAGTCGACCTTAAAAAATTCTGCTCGGGAATGGCACTAGGCCGACCGAGCAAAAAAAAAGACCTTAAAAAAAGACTGTTGTTGGCACGTGTTTATGGCGCGGCAGCTGGTAGTTGGCGGTGTTTCGCGTGGTGTGGCATCACTGGCGGATCCAGGGGGGGGCACGGGAGTCTGAGGTGCCCCTGACAGGTCCGTGGTGCCCTTGCTAGGCCTGTGGTGCCCCTGGACCCTGGCAGGCCTGTGGTGCCTCTGGCGGGCCTAGGGTGCCCCTGCTAGGCTGCTGATGCCCCTGGGACCTGACAGGACTCCCCTGACAAGCCTAAAGTGCCCCCAACAGACCCGTGATGCCCCCGACAGGCCCAAGGTGTCCCTGCGTGACGCCGTGATGCCTGCGAGGCCGGTGGTGCCCCTGCGAGGCCGGTGGTGCCCCTGCTAGACCGGTGGTGCCCCTGGCAGGCCTGTGGTGCCCCTGCTAGGCCGCTGGTGCCCCTGGGCCCTGACATGACTGTGGTGCCCCTGCTAGGCCGCTGGTGCCCCTGGGCCCTGACAGGACTGTGGTGCCCCTGACAGGCTCAAGGTGCCCCTGCAAGGCCGGTGGTGCCCCTGTAAGGCCTGTGGTGCCCCTGCTAGGCCTCTGGTGCCCCTGACAGGCCCATGGTGCCCCTGCGAGGCCGGTGGTGCCCTTGGCAGGTCTCTGGTGTCTCTGACAGACCTGGGGTGCCCCTGACGAGCCTGTGGGGCCCCTCACAGGCCCGTGGTGCCCTTGCTAGGCCTGTGGTGCCCCTGGCGGGCTGGTGGTATCCCTGCTAGGCCGGTGGTGCCCCTGACAGGCCTGTGGTGCCCCCGGGCACCAAGGGGGGTCATGACCCATGTGCCCCCCCCCCTTGGATCTGCCACTGATACATAATATATTGATTTGTAAAGGCGTTATGGCTTATGCAATATGCAATTGCAGGCACTTGGCATCCCTCACTTACCCCTCATTGGGGGCTCTGGCGGGCTCCTGAGGGCCCACGTCTATCTCCGGGAGCCCTAGACGGGCTCCTTTGGGTCCTTTCAGTCCACTATAGCATAAGAGGTCTCCACGCGAGTCCTATACATCTGAGGGCGTACCCTGACGTCTGAGGTACCCAACTGCAGCTCCAATGGTCTCTTACACTGGCGGATCCAGGGAGGGGGCATTTAGGGCCATGTCCCCTTCCCAGAGGCCTAAAGTGGCCCGTTTGCCCCCTCCCCCAAGCGATAATGAAACATAGTTCAATCAGTGCGTGGCCCAGGAGCCGAGTTAGACAGGGGGTGTTTTACCACCTCCCGGCCCGCAAAGGGACCCAAGCACTGACTCGAAGCGGGTTAACTGGTCGACAAAAGCAATGGTAAGTGTTTACAAAGTAATATAAAGGCATGGGTCTTGTGGGCTACCATTTATATATTTTTCTTTTTAGTTAAAAAAAAATTCATAGTGTCAGGACTGTGACGAAAAATAAGTGGCCTAAATCCGATGAGAAAACAGGATTTGGGGGTACCCTAGGTTTGGCTCCTGCATGAGTTGCCCCCCCCCCCCAAAACGCAAGCCTGGATCCGCCAGTGTTATTGACTATACCATGCAACTTTTGGATTTTGTCAAAAAAAGGTCATTTTGTTATTTGGGATGAACGTTTTCAGTGAAAGATGTGGAAGAAGTTGAATTCACCAGAACTTGCTTTTTAATCCGCGAGTTGCTGGGGGGGGGGGGCGTTAAACGCCCCCACTTTTTTCGCCGGGCCATAGCATAAAAATGGCGCGCCAATTTTTAGGTACCTGTAGGGAATTGATTGAAGTTTATTGTGACAAAATTTCAAAAAAAAATCCGTCGAAAAAAAATTTTGAGATATCGAGGTTTTAGTGACGTCATGATTTCTGAGTTTTCGACCAAAAACGGCATATGTTCAAAAAAATCATATAAAATCACAGAATAGACATACAGACATGCCGTAAACGCTATTAGAATGACAATACCATGAACAATCAAATGGCTATCTTCGATTAGATTATCGTTCCGCATTTTCAAAAATCTTGAACTGAATCTTGACAATTTCTCGTGACTACTTCACGACCATGATACATGAATTTCTTAAATTGAACTTTTTGAGCCAAACACGTAGTCGTACACATATGATAAAATGAATGTCACCGTCGTGTTCTACGGCCCAAATTACCCATGAACCATGTGTCATAGGCTGCGAATATCAGTTTTGATTTTCGGGGATATGTGCCTACCCGGTTGACCTGACCTTGACCCTGACCTATGCTTGACTGACCCCTACATGGATCTGACACTCTTGTAGGCCTTATATGATGGATTGTGCACCGTTTTGACAGAGTTTCTGACGAGAGGCGCCCATTGTGAAGTCCTGCAGTCCATGCTACTGAAAGCCCGATTTCAGGTGTTTGACCTGACCTTGACCCGACCTGTGACCTCAAAATTCAACGTTAAAGTACTCATCTGACGCGTCTCGTCGCGTTCTTTCGTTTGCCGCCTCGTGCGTTTCGCTGCGCCTATTGGTTCTCGAGTTATCGAGCTGGGGGCGTTTAACGCCCCCCCCCCCCCCCCCAGCAAACGGTGGGTGGCGAAATACCCCAGCAACTGCCGGGTTAATTCTGCATGTTATCCTTAATGCATATTTGCAATGTAAAGCCTTGGAATGCACAAGGAATTGTTTCAGGCAAGATGAAAACATCTCCATTATGAACTTCAATATCATGATATAGATTTTAATAGAACCGCCCGGGGTCTGAGTCAGAGTTAGAGTCTGAGCTGATTTTTAAGTTGGAGTCCGAGTTTGAGACACTTGAAATTTTGAAGTCCATCGACTCTACAGCCCCGCTTCTGAGGCATACTTAAATAAAAATGTTTTCCAACTTTGTAAAGTTTTGCTTATAATTGTATTATGCATTGCCAATTTAAAGGTCATAAATTTCTTTGTTACTGGAAAGGAGAACTGTTTTGAATCTGATGTCATTGTATTAAAGAGTCAGCACTGTAAAAATCCTTGTTACCTTTGACATGTCCAGTGTAATGGGCAAATTGCACCACATTTTTGGTGCAGCATTCAGTGTAACATAGTGTGAAATGTTGCCAAACGGATGAGTGGCAAAATTTTTGTGCTGGCAGATTATTTCAGAAATTTTGGCACAAGACAATCAGGCCTGACCTTAGATAACTGCACTGCCACTCACTGCATTCTGTATTCAAATCTGGTGCCCACTTACCCCTGGGTTGACATTTGAGATAGCCCTTGGATGATTGGGACTACAAAGGCACCATGTAGTGTTTGCTGTGAGTGCGCCACTTTCGGTTGTACTGTTGTAGAGGTGGTCATTGTCGTGCTGGGATATTGTCCAACAGTTTGACGTAGGTAGCACATCTACCTACGTACAGAGGTAGTATCTCTGATGTCCAGATGTCTGTATCTGACGTACAGACATCTGGTGACGCCGGTGACGGGACTCGTGGCATGTGCGTGAGAGGCCGGGCGAGAACGAACCGAACGAACGACGACGCGGACACTGCACTTGGGCTGGTTGATGTTCGGGATCCTAACTGCTGAAGTTGTGCCTGCAGTGGATTGTTACCTGAGCCAGGCGACTGGCATTGAGAACTGTCTTTCAGTGGGGTGCCATAGGGCTCAGAAAGCCACCTTAATTCAGCACTGGGTGCCGGGCTGGAAAGCTTGGTAATGTGTTAGATTGTAGAGTTAGACTTTACAGCGCAGGGGCATTGTCGGTGCTAGGGCACTTTGTGCGTGATGCACTTCAGACTTGCCATGACGTCCCAGTATACGCTTAGACTGTGTCCGCGAGCGGCCGTGACTGCTCGCGCCTCGCGGAACAGGCGCCCCTGTGACAGCTTCCGACCCTGTGACAGCTGCCTGCCAACCCTGTGGCAGCTGCCTGCCAACTCTGTAACAGCTGCTGCAACTATGGTTGCAGTCGTTCACAATGATAGTGGCCGTATCGCATCACCTAGGTAACCTGGCTGTGCCTTATTGAGCTCCGAAATTTAAAGCCATTACACCCAGACTCGCCGCTGTCGTTAGGCCCCTATATCGGATAATGAGCGGTTATGAAGCTCGGAAGCGACGTAAAGGTATGGATAATTTCCAGAGGTAGTTTTTACCACGGAATTGTTCAAGCCCAGCTGCCGTACACACAGGTGGGGCTAGCTTAGGGAGTTGCGTCGCTATAACGCACGTTAAATCGAAAACGTGCTATTGTTAACTCTTCTCGCCGTTTTCCTTTTAGCGTTGTTACCGAAACATTATCCCCCTCCCCCGACTAGAAGATAACCACCAGTGACTGTCTGTGCGTCAGATCGGCGCACTGATCTACTTCATCTGCCTCGTCCTGGCCATCATCTTCAACGAATGGATCGAGGACAGGATGGACGGCCTCAAGGAGCAGGGCTACATCTCCTTCGACCTCACCGGCTTCATGAGTGAGTGAACGTGCCGCACGCCACGTCCGTCCCGCAATCAGAGGGCGGTGAGAGGTGTCATACCGGAGACTTTTGGCTGATTGTGGTAGTGGGGTGACGATAAAGGTTGTTCGCTCGGCGTTATCAGAGAACGACACCGTTATTTTTGTGGAATGCTTTTCAATGTTTTTTTTTTTAATTGTGTCAAGCTTTGCTGATTTTACTTGTTGTACCTCGTTTGATTAGAACATGACACATTTTTAGCTCAAAATATCGTTGCCCTAAAAGTAGGTATCATAACTTTTGTAATTAACTAAACCGCTAGGATTTGAGAACAGCATAATATTCAACAGCTTCGAGCTCTCCGAATCAGTAGCTACAGTAGCTTCTTTAGTTCGCGAAGTGGCCAACAGATGCCACTGTCGGCCACCGCCCTTTGCTTTGTGATTCACCGCCCCGTGACTCAGCCACGGAAACGACACCTGTTGTGTAGCCAGCCTTCAGCTCATGTCACAACAGACCCGAGACGTATCTGGCGCGCTGGCGTCATATCCGGCGTAGTTGCAGCTCTGTATAGCTGGACGTAATCGTATGCACTCCGCAGTAACGTACTGTCCCGAGGCGTCAGGTTGATGTTGGATGACAGCTGCGTCAGGGAGAGGGTGGGGTGGCTGCATGAACAACGACCGTACTAGAGATGTTTGGTACTGTCGATAGATGTCACTACTTGGTAGTATTGTTAATCATGATGATTCCATATTCCGAAATAATATTATGATAACGGATTTAGCCATGCGTGTTTCCTAGTTATTATTATTTTTATGTACTCTGTATAAAACGTCGGCCGTTGACCTGTTCTGGCCTGACCGGACCTAATCTAACCTGACGGTGACACTGGTCCATGGGCGTAGGAACGGCTGGAACATTGTGGGTGCATGGGTGCAGAAATCCAGCCATGGCCGGTGAAGCCGGGGGGGGGAGGGGGTAGGGAGCGGCACCCGAGCGGAGGCTCCTTGTGAGCTTTGAGGGTGTACCATGTCGAAAAGGTACCTACCGATGATTAGTGTATTTAGAAGCGTTGATAATGTCAATATTGACTACCGCAAAAAGTACCTAAATGCGGCTAACTTAGCCATTTTCGAAGATAGGTATCGGGCTAAAACTTTTGACAGTGGGTCATCGGTATGTGTTCAATCACATGTGTTCCGTTGCTTCCTTTTTTACTTGAGCGCAAATGTAAGTTTTGAAGACCATCACAGTAGCAAACGCTTCTAAAGGTGGAAAGTGGGCAAAATATCCTGAATTTGTTGTGCTGCATGGGAAGTAGTGTTGATGAGAAAAGGGGTTTTTGTTCCAGATTATTGTGGGTGCAGAATACATTGTCTGCACCCACTGGAGAATTATTGTGGGTGCAACTGCACCCACTGCACCCATGGTTCCTACACTTATGCACTGGTCGCTTGACATGACGTGAACTGCTTTTATTAACTGGTTTGTGGTGGTTACTGGTTACCATCAGGCCTGACCTGACCTGCCGTGGTTTCTGTCTTTCAGGCTGGTTCGTGATGCTGATCCTGTCTGTCGCTGTTGCAGGCTGGTTCGTGATGCTGATCCTGTCTGTCGCTATTTCAGGCTGGTTCGTGATGCTGATCCTTTCTGTCGTTATTACAGGCTGGTTCGTGATGCTGATCCTGTCAGCGGTGCTGGCGTTTGTCTACATCGTCTTCACCTGCATAATGATGTACGGCTGCCGCGAGGTGAGTGACGTCATCGTCATCTCGTGTGGGACCATTCATCAGAGTTTGACACTCCTGTGGAATGGATTGATTTGCTATCCAACGTTAGACATTAGTGAAGTAGGATCGGCTTGTAAGATATGAATAAATTTGTGATGAAAGCATAAATACAAATATATTATATAATACATACTTATAAGTATATGTAGTCAATTGATTGAAGTATGTGTGATAAACTAACATTTTTTGCGTGCATTTACAATAATTGTGTATGACAGGTGTCGGTTGTCTTTTATCCGTATTCGTATATAACATCACCATTATCTCTACCTCATTTTCTCACGAGTCCTTCCCGTGATGACCAGGAGCGCCGCGTGTTCCTGATGCCCTGGATGCTGATGACGACGCTGGAGATTTTCGCCATGCTGGTGGGCATCATCATGACGCTGGTCTCCCTCGGCAACTACCAGCCCGTCTACAGCGCCGTCACCGGCATACTGGGCTTCATCGCCTGCGGCATGTACGTCCGTCGTGCAATCGGGAGGGACGGGAGTGGGGGGGGGGCTAGAGAGGTTGGGAGGGACCAGAACGGGAGAGTGCAGGAGATGTTGGAATAGATGGGCTGAGGGATTGACGGGTAAATAATAGGTCTGGTAAGTGGGGGCCGAGTCAGTGAACCAGAGGATAGATAGAAGTGGGCTGTGAAATTAGTGTGTGTGTGTGGGGGGGGGGGGATTTGATGCGATTTATATGTCATCAATAGGATAGTTAAGAATTGATGCTGTACTTGTGCATTTAGTGGTGCGCTGGGTTTTCTTATGCAGGGCTGCAATGTCTTACGTGGACATGATTCGTTCAACAAGCTGCTAAATGCATTGTTAGCTGTTTGTTGTTAGCTACGTAAGGTGTATGACTATCTTACGTATATATGTACTCCAGTCATTCTTGATTTTTGTGTATTGCTCCCCGCGTGTCCCGTCGTAAGATTTGAACCCGGGACCGTGACCTTGGGCTCCCGTTACAGCTACATCTACATGCTGCTGGTGGTGGTCAGCTACTACCAGTACCTCAAGGACACGCAGGACGGATATTATCCGCCCACAGAGATGAGCAAGCACTAACGCGGCGTCGGCATGGCAACGGGACGGACAGTGACGTTGGCATGGCAACCGGTGGCGTCGTCTGCATGGCAACCGAGAAAGTGTCGTGGAGACGAGTCGCTGTTGGTATGGCAACGAACGACTTCGGCGGCAAGAGGAGAGGATTTGAGATGCGAAAGGAAAGGTCTAAAGAAGGAAAGAAAGACTGATAAGAAAGTAGATATTTCGCTGGGTTAAAGTTGACAAGCGTCTGGCAGTTTTGTCGGTTTGAGAACTAAGAGCTTTGGAGCAAGGAACGTTTTGCTACTGTTATTTTGAAGTTGGGTGCAGTTATTGACATCAATGATTCAGAAGTTGCCTTAGAATCGTTCGTGAAACGGAATTTCACAAATGCTGAAATATTATCCATTCAATAGTGCCTTTCTTTTGACTTTAGACTTAACTGCATATTTGTTAACTGTGCGCACAATTTGTGTCTTCTACAAGGCCCATGCGAGCTAATCCGTCAACACCTTTGTTAGGTGTGCCCACAGTATTGGTCTTCCTAAAGAGAAAAAAGCTGGACTTACAAATTGACTCCTTTGCGGGGCTGCATGCTTCGAGCCACCGTACCAGTTACCGCGTCTGTGACTGGTCGCTTCCGAACTTTTTTGGGCAGCTCGGAAAAATACTCGGCTTGGCTAGTTGGGAAAAATAATGCCTATTGGCTAGGTCTGTTCATGGCATTACTATTCGCTACCCTAGCGGCCGGTCTTCCGTGGTTTTTGGATATTCAAAGTGGTGTTATAGGAAAAAGAGCGCATTGGGTGGGGCTTTTTGTTCTCTGCCGCACTGCCAAGGCATGTAGGTGCCGCTGTTCGTGTTATCTAACACCAAGGCTAATCATTTGAGGCTTTATGGGTGGGGTTAACATCCCGTAACTTGTGGATTTGGTGCCTTCAACTCTTGTTTGTCGGTTTCTAGGGCTGAATTAAAATCACGAAACTCGAGTCTCTAGTCATGAATGCGGGCTGTTTTCGTGAAAACATTTCGATCTTCTAAAGATGGTGTGAGCTCCCCTAACGTTATAACGGGTTTTGTTTTGATGGCGCTGGTATTTTGATTACGTAACTGTTAATCTCACTTAGGTTTACAAACAAGCTTGTGCACCTAACTGTCACACTAGTATAAAACGGAATCTCCCTTTGCTATGCCTACTTTATACTTATATGGTTTAAAAGTATTTACATTATTTTGTGCTATTGTTTAATCCCCAAGCACACTTTAAGTATAAAAACGAATCTCTGCTATCTCAACCATATATTTATGTTCACATTTACCATCATGTACATTTTGTGTGTATCTTTTCTTGTGACTTGGATGTTGATCTGGGTAGTTTTAAGTTGGGAACGCCTTCGGGCTTACCTCTGCCTACTTTGCTCGTCTAATGCAGTTCTTTGTGTGTAACGCGCGCGGCTAATATTGTGTAACACCTCTCAGTTGGCCCTTATTTACAAGAAATTGTTCTCAGACTGGTACCAACTAGGATGGTTAATCGTTTTGATAGCCGCGACAAGAGTAATCAGTTGAACTCCAAGTAAAGCCTGTCTTGGCGGCGGCTCTCTAATTGTCGTTATTCTTCTACAAAGACGGGAGAAGCGTTGCACTTATGAAGCGATTTCCTGTTAGCATCACAAATTTCTGTCGAAAAAATGTCCGGCGTAGTGTTACTCCGACCCTGATTGTTAGCTTCTGAGCTGGTGTGTGTTTGTTGTAGTGCGTTTTTGTGTGTTAGGTAACTAGCTAGTCGTGTTGCTGTCAGTAGTGAAAGCTAATACACCGATGCCGCGTCGGTCACAGGATACTTACCCACCTCTACGGCGGTCGGCACAGCTACTTACCCACCTCTATAAAGAGCAGCAGCTTTCTGGACGCCCCTAGCTGAGTAGTCAGTTATTTACCCAGCACTTCAGCAGTACTCCAGCCGCGGCGGTACTGGCCTCGTTCACAGAATTTGTACGGACGCTTACAAGTCGAACTGTTCAGTTAACACCCAGAGCAGCTTTTTAACAATCTTTGTCTAAATTCTGACATTTTTTGGCACGCAACGTTATACCGGAGTAACTTTTATCGGTTTTATCCGTCTTTACGGGCAGTTTGTTAGCGCAAATTGTTAGAACAAATTGTTCAGTTATCTGTCACATTCAGCGTCTTCCATCTGCAATTTATCCATATACTGTCCGTGTCAGATTGGCCTATCGGATCTATTCGTGGGATATGGCATTGTCTTCTACGCGACATTGTGCCTTTCGTGCGAGCTATCCTGTATCGATTGTTGTGTCAATATCTATCCAGGCGGTGTCAATGTTGCTCGCTGTACCGCGCATTGTCGTTGCGTTTTCGGCGTGACTACTCTAAACTGTTAACATGTCCTAGAATGTGGACCAGCTTAGGCCTTACAGCGTGCTGTCCTCTTGAAAGGTTGCTTCCGCTGTTTTCTTTTTTAGGAATCTGTAAGCTTGCACATGCTGCTACGTAGGCGCTTTGCTGGTCGTCTTTGGGCACTTGTCCGGTGTTTTCGTGCGCCTTCGTCGGTAAGATGTCCCGTGCCTTTGCTGCTACTGATCCGTCGTGCTCTTATACCGTGACGTACAACTGAAAACAGCCGTCTTTCTGAATGTAAAAGGCCTTCCATTATATCGACACTGTTATATAATCACCATCTGTTACAGTGTTTGGGGCACCTCTTGTGCAAATGACTGTTAACCCGATATTCTAAGCCACGGTGACTATAAATAATTCTAAGCGACACCGCCCGGTACATAGGGATCGCCGCGTCACATCGAAACCGTATTGAATTAATTTGCCGCGGATATTTGAGAAAGCAAGTGCGCATTTCAAACGGATTTTGTATTGCCTTCAATCGTCTGCAGCGCGCATTTACTTGATCACGTATCTGTGGTAAATGTCCGCCTGTTACGGTTCGACTTTACATCTCCGACTGTCTGGCTTCAAAGACTGGAATCCGTGGTAGATATTCTGCGGTAGTTTTGTGGTAGATAACTATTGGTAACCTGTGCATGCTGCTTATTTTTATAGAATAAACATCGCTAATACCAAAAAGTTGTTTGATGCTGCCCAGTTTTCAGAGGTGTTGGAACGTACAGAGGGTTATCTAAAGCATTTTGCGTGAAGAGTAAATGTGCAATCCTTGCACTGGTGTCATCATTGTTAATTTGACGGTGTGCTGGGCAGTATAACCCAAATGCATGTTTTGCACTGTTTCAACACATTGCTGCACATCTCATGTCCAAGGACAACCCGCAGCAAACTGGAGCGAAACTGACACGAAGGAATGTGTGGCAATCCTTACGGTGGGGAGGGGAGGGGAGGGGAGGGTGTCATTGGCGGTTGTCATATCGCTGGCTGCTGTGCGGTACCGGGAGCGGTTTGCGGAGCATTAGTAGCGCGAGGGCAGCCAACTGGAGCGGGGCTGACAGAGGCGTGGAAAGGGAGCCGACAGATCTGGCAGGCGGTCGGTGGCCCGGCGCCCCGCTGGGGCCTTTGGATTTCCGCGCCCTGCTGGGGGGGGGAGAAGGGGGGTGAACACCTCCTCTCCTCTTCTAACTCGGCCCCTGGGCCACGTAGCGACACGCCGTAGGCTGCGTTCGAAAGAACGTCAAAAATAATGTAGCTATGACTTCATTCACTTCTTAGGTCAGGACAGCAAAGTAAAGATGAAATTTCTCTAATTTTGAGATCAAACTTCGACTAGTCTAATTTAACTTCGACTATTCTAATAATGGGTTAAGGTGTGCCTTATGCGGTAGCGTGCTTGTCACCCCCTCCCCCCGCGCCCTGCTAGGGCGTTGAAACTGCCCCCCTCCATGTGGTTTTTCGCGAATGTCTTCTGCGCCGCCGTTTTTTTGGCGGCACACTTTATCATACATCGATTCTACACATATGGTGAAAATTTCAGACCAAGGTCATTCAAGGTCAGGTCACTAGGTCACTTCAAGTGAGCTTACCTCATAACAAGTTTCAATGTCTGTCATAGCTACAGCGAGTGACCGATTGCTTTGAAACTTTCAGCGATTGATAAGAGCAATAGCATGTACTATGTAGGTACAATATGCATGTCTCAGAAGTTTGATATCGGTGACCTCAGGTTAGGTAAATTTTTGCGACCTCCCATTACCTTCGGGAAAGTGAGGTAAGACGGGCACCTTAACTTTGGAGCCATTTTTCGGCCGGTTAGAAACATCATAGAAACGGGAAAATGAGTGATAACCTTTTTTAGACATTCCACTTCCATTTGTCAGAAGATGAGACTTAGACCTGATTCAACAAATAAATTGCAGCTATTTTTGCAAAACCTTGCAAAAGCCCGTCTTACCCCACCCCATGGGGTAAGACGGTCACATGGGTAGGGCAAGACGGCCAGCTTCTTTCACCGACCAGCACAGCTCGCAACAATTGCCCGAGATTAGCCGCATTGATACAGTCGCTCGTTGGTCTCAAGTGCTTCGGAAATGGCAGTATACGAGATTCGTTCAGAAGGCGTATGCTCGTATATAGGCCCTAGTTCAGAAGCCATGTAGAACCGTTTTTTCACATTCATTATTCGAGAATAAACTGTACCGAAGGAATATTGCTAACATGTCTGTGAGTATCGGAATCGAACATATTCATATTAGAAAGGCTTCTTTTATTCCTACAGCAACAACAATATTTTCACCATTACAGACCCATTGGATTCATAGTTGCCCGTCTTACCCCAAACTCAATGTCAGAAGTTCAGCACGATTTTCTCTGTGGACAATTTGATGCAGACAAAGCAAATCCGCGGTAAATGAACTATGAGTGTACCACAAGTTATTGCGAATTTTTAACTCTATATAGTGCTGCACACAAAAACTTGCACAATACATTATGGATGTTTTCAATGAAATGAGTGTTTTAAAGAAATCCGAATAAAAGATTATCGACTGAACACACATTCACCAGACTTCAATGGTAGTGTGTAGTGGGTAAGGCACTCGTAGCGCTATTGGTTTGGTCTGTAGAAGCCTCAGGGCCTCGTCTATGAGTTCTTCACTGGGGGGGGGGGGAAAGCAGAGACTCAAGGAGCCAAACCTAGGGTACCCCAAATCCTTTTTTCACCGGATTTAGGCCACTCATTTTTCATCACAGCCCTGAAACCCGATGAACTTTTTTAACACTAACTAAATAAAAATAGTAGACCATCCGACCCATATGCCTCTGCATTAGTTTATAACCCCCTCACATTGCCCCACCAGACAGCAATAAGCATGCAAAGAATGAAACCTTAGTTTTGGACCCGTTTATCCAAGAATCTTGCTCCCGTTATGGCTATAAGGGAGCCATCACTTATACCTATTTGTATGCGCTTCTGCTCCTCTGTTCGTGCAAGGTAGAGTTAAAACGTTGAAATCAAATATTTTCTGAGAATAATCGAGCGAAATGGACAATTGATGCCCTCGAATGACCTGAACATTGGCCATATCGTAGCAATTTATTACGAACGCATACCTATATTTTTTGCGAACCACATCGGTTTCTAATGGCTTATGAGCGTCAGGTGCCGAGCTCTGATGGCCATTGCCAGCTTCAGGACCCACGTTGGCCTCTGGTAACCCACACTAGTCTTTCCCGTCCCCAGAGACAGACCACCAGGCTGAGCTTACGATCACCCAGAATGGGAGCCTGCTTCATTACGATTAGGAGCTACTCTTGCCGCACACCGGTGACCGTCCAGCCAGAAGTTCGACGTCGCGTAGTAAGGATGTTCAAGGTAAACTCATACAAGTTGTTAAGTCTTGGTTTTATTATCGAAAAACCGCAAGTTTTCGTCAATTTCGGGCGGTGCGGTGGCGGGGGGGGGGGGCATTTGCCCCAAATTTCTCACCCCTCCTGGATCCGCCAGGAGCCGATCTCACTGCAGCTATCTGTACTGTCTTGTCAATAATGCTCAACTCTTGATGACATTTTGTCGTGTCAGTTTACGAAGAGCCTGTTTCATTGTGGGCACGGTTTCTCTGGTTCTCCTCTCAGTGAACAGGACGGGGCGCAATGACTCTTCTCTGAGTTCAAAGGATGCTGCTCTCATTTACTCAAACTAAAGACTCCCTGAACCGGAGCACATTCAACTCCTGATAAACCTCGCCCCCGGCTCCCCTCTCCATGAATTGGCGCCATTTTCCGCCAGTTACCGCCACAATGAGCGCCACGCGCCGCGGCCGCCGCAGTCGCGTCACGACCGTCTCACTGTGACGCGTGACGCGCCTTTCCGTGACGCTGGTGACGCAACAGACGGTCATCCTGGCTGCAACGATGGGCGACCGTGACGGGCGGCCGTGACGCGTAGTTCCGGCGCTAACCGGTCCCGCGCGCGCGAACAGCGCGAATCGCGCGCCGCGCGGTCTCGATGAAAGTGAACCCAGCCGGCGAGACGGCCGCGCCATGGGTCTGATGAGGGCGGGAGGTGACGCTCACCCCCCCCCCCCTCCCCCCGGGAGAGGTGACGGAGGGGAGGTAGCCCGAGGGCAGAGCGGTATCAGAGCCCACGGACTGCGGAGGTGCCTCGGGTCGGTCGGGTCACAGAGCCAGGCGAGGGGTCAGAGTTCGCACGGGAGTCGAGGCCGCGAGATGGCGGCTGAGAAGAGGATCCACGCGCTCCTGGTGAGATATTATTTGGATTTTTTTAGGTAATATTTTTCTTTACAAGATATCTGCTACGGTTATGGGTGTGACTGACCGGATACTCTTACCGTTCACATAACCAATGCTACTCTAGCATGATAAAAATTCAAGAGATCAAATTTGAAATCGTTCGTAAATATGTAAAAACCATTGACATTTTCCACGAACAAATAAAATCAAGCCAAAAGTTCTATTCAATACGGTGAGCTTTCGGCTTAAGCCTTCATCAAACCAAGGAAATGAAACAAACCAAATATTTTGTATTATGTCATTTTCTTGGTTTGACGAAGGCCTGTAGCCGAAAGCTCACCGTATTAAATATAACTTCTGACTTTAATTTTATTTAGTTCAATGAAAAGAGAAATGATTTTTCACATATTTCTACCCGCTATGTTCCTCGCAAAAGCGCTTGACACAATCAAAATCGCTCGGTTAAAATCGATTACAACTCTGTGAGTATCTTATTCAACTTGCCAATTTTAACAGTTCCTAGCGTCATAACGGTACCATACTTAGGGCATCATGTTCTGAAAATGTGCTTGTTGGTAAAACACAACAGGCTTTACAACAGTATTTGCGCGAGATGTCTGTTGGTTACCCGCTCCGATCATATCACATCGATGCGGAGGTTCAAACTTAAATGTTCAAATGTTCGGCAGAGCGTGTGCTCAAATGTGGTGAGCTGAAGCTACCTATATCATTGATTCTATTGTTCGGTGCGATCAACCTTCCATTCAGTTTACTATTTTCCCCGTTTGTTTTCCGTCTTTGATCCATATCTACTCTCCTTCAAACTCCGCCTGTTTCACTCACATGTCTCACGTTCCACTCACCTATCTCTAACCCGCCTCTGACCGTCATCTGTTTCAGGCTGCGTTCGTCTTTCTGTTGCTCTCCTCCGACTCCAGCGGAGGACGACCGTTCGGTCGGCCGGAGCCACGGACCCTTCAGGAGTTCCTCGGTCAGTCCGTGGGATACCTGGCGAGGGATCCGGCGGGACACGGATCCGGTCGGACCTCCGGATACGGAACCCCCAAGCCGTACTTGCCGATCATACGGACCGTGGTGACTGATGGAGAAAATTCGCCAGAACATGGAGAAAATCTGCCAAAGTCGCCAGAAGTTAGAGGTTTTCAAGAGAGTTTCGTCGATGAATTCAGACAAAATGAAATATCTACAGAGCACGAAGACGCAAACAAAGAAGGCAAGGCTCTTGGGCAGGACTATGAAACGTTAAAAGCAGCCGCAGTGAGCAGCCTGAGTAAAAATGCATACGGGTTCAAACACCACCCCAAGAGGTACAGAAATGACCCAAAGGAAAGCTCTGAAAAGTCTTCCGGCGGTTCTGTAAGACATCTCGAAGAGTCGTCCAGCACCGTTCACCGTGACTCTGATGATTCAGCTGGCTTCTTCAGTGAGCCTGACTGGCCTGATCGGCCTTTGGAGGGAAGATCTGGTGATGGTTTCCATGACGACGAAAGTGATCACAGGAGTGGGTTCGAGCCGGGTGGATTTTTCTACGAGGAGTACAGAGTGGAAGGCGATCCAGTCCGCTCTGACGGCGACAAACACTCGGGGACAACTTCCGGACCGCGCCAAAGTCACTCTTTCGCCACAGGGGACGGGCACAAAACTTTGACGAAGTTCGGCGCCATGCTCAACTTTGAACCGTCCCGATCACATGGGGAAGACTCGAACTCTCGTCCAGGGCAGAACGGTTTCGGATCGTCTCCAGGACAGAACGATGTGACCACAAATCATTTTACAAACTCTCTGCAGGAATTTGGACCTCCGAAAGAATCCAAAGATTTTGATAATTTCCACAATAAACCGAGACACGAAAACGAACACAGAGAATTCCACTTCGAAACTTCTTCAATAAAACCAGACGACTTCTTATCTGGCGACATCACCCAGCGTGAGTCCCACTCCTCTTCACAAAGCTACGACCCCTCGCACGTCTTCCAGCCAGTTCGCGAGCGCCCTCTTCTCACCGATAGGGAGACCTATTCCTCCGACTTCTCCTTTTCCACCAGCAGCGTTTCCAACGAGCACAACGGCGACGTCTACACCACCGACAGCCCGAGACAGCACGACGGCCACGGCAGCGACCGCGAGCTGCGCGCACAGGTCGCGTTCGAGCCTCAGCGCACGACGTCCTACCATCGCGAGGGATACAACACGCCCAAGCCGTACAAACCCCCGCCGACCTCGCCGACACCGAGGCACGGGGCGTTCCCGCTGGCCCGACCCGGCTACAGCGGAGAGCACGGCCTGGCGGCGTACCCGGAGCACGGCCCAGAGCACGGCGTGGGATTGTACGGCGCCTCTGAGCATTCTCTTCTGGGTCACAGCGCCGCCAAGCACGCCCCAGGCTACGCCCAGTCGTACCACAGTGGACATCGGGGGTACGCAGGGTACCCTCACAGGTACTCGGTGTACGTGCACGGGTACCGTACCGTGCCGTACTCCAGTACCGTGGTACACTCGGACCAGCATCAGTACGTGGGACCTGCGTACCCCAGTGGGCACGGAGACAACACACTGAGGTACGGGGTACATCCGTACCACACTGGCAGCGGGTACAACTCGGGGTACACGACTGGCCACTCCCACGTACCGGGGTACGCCGGCGAGGCAGGGTACTCCTCCGGTCGGGACCACCTCCACGGAGTACAACTCTACCAGATCACCCAGCCGCTCGACCCCCACCACCCCAATCACCTCGAGTACGACCACGGCACACATGACTACGTCCCGCCTGGCTACGGTACGCCAAGCCACGTCTCGCCCGGCCATGGCACGCCGGGGTACGTCTCCCTGGAGTACGTCCCCGCAGGCCACGCCGGCGGCTACGGCCTGAAACGTCCCGAGTACAGTTCCGTCTACCATGACGACTACGCCCAGTACGCCCGGTACGGCGGGTACGGCGCACGGCCGTACCGCCGTGCTGACGGAACGGTGTCTGGGACGGAGGACGAACAGCAGCCGGCCGCTTCTGAGGTAGTAGAAACAGTCGCCGAGGCTTCTTCTCCAGTAGCTGAAACTTCTTCTCCAGTAGCTGAAGCTTCTTCGGCGGTGGATGTTGTTGCACAGGCGGCGTCGCCACTAGACGTCACTGCAGAGGCGTCGTCGCCAGTGGACATCGTTGCAGTAGCCTCTTAAGTTCTGTTCGGTTTTCTTAGGTCAAAGAAGCCTCTGAACCTACGGTATGAGCAGCGCATGTCTCTGAACCTGTGTGTGGGAGCGACAGAGACAGAACGTGGAGTAGCTGTTCCGAGGGGCAGTCAGGAGATTGAGAGTGGGTGAAACGTGTGATGGGCAAGCGCTGCTTTGTAGAATTACCGGGTTTGATGTGTCATGAGACTGTCGAAATCCCTGTATGAGCGTTGTGAAGAAGTTTTTATATAGGATCCCTTGTAAGTTGTAACTTATTTGGCTTACGTTCAATCTGCTTGAAGAAGGGCAATGTAGTTCCGTGAAAAGTAGATGTGCTTATGATAGGCATAGCGCCAGATAACATGCTCGATGTTCCCACTATCTAGACCTCACAAGCCTACACATCATCAGAAATGATGGTAGAAATAGGACGACCATTTACATCTTTCATCATTTTTTTTTTTGTATTCTGTAGTCGCCGTTAATGAGAGTATATAGAACCGCTTTCAGCTGCTAGCCCCGCCGTATAGCGACGAAAGCTGTTCGATGTTCAATAGTCAATACAAAAATCCCTATATGTTATCGAACTCCTGTACTTGTATAACACAAATGTAACGTTGCAAAATGTTTTGCGCCGTTTTTTTTTTTTTTGCAGATGCATCGATTGATAAACCTTTGTCTTCTCCAGATCACAAGAAATACATTCTTAGCTTCTCAGCAATGTTCATGTTTCGCACATTCTAGCCACATATACCATGCATGTAATGTATATGCAGCCACAGTCTGTTGGTGAATGTGCATCAATGGTCCCTGCAAAGATCGTCACCCGGTGAATTGCGGAAGTCATTCCGCTGCTACGGACCGCCGTCACCGCCCAGGCATTCGAACGATGGTTACGGACTAAGGGCAGACCTCATCAGAGTAACTCCCCTCTGCACCGTGGAACAGCTTCCCAGGCTCAAACCAGACCTTTTGTCTTGGTTATCCAAGGCAAATTAGCCCTCGCCGGCCGAAGGGGGGGGGGGGGCGGGTGCCGCCCCCATAGGGTTTTTTCGCGATAGTTCCGAACACGCTGGCGATAGAGAGCTGAAACTTGGCATACCTGACCTTTGATTAAAGCCAAATCTTTCGACACCAACCGCATTTTCGAGTCAGGTCAGGTCACTGACCTATGACGTCATAAGTGAACCTCTGCACGGTCTTCAGATGTCGCAACTTCGCAACGCCATCACTGCCAGAGTAGCTTTCACAGTGAAATGAAACTTGCAGAATCTAATATCCATTACTAGTGTCACAACTTGTATATCTCGGATTTTTCCTAAAGGTCATATGGGGTCAGGTCATTTTCGTGACCTCACCATTATAAGTCAATGGGCAAAAATGAAAACTGCTATTCTGGCGCCGGAAACGATCTCCAACTATATCAAGCACATAGAATCGTGATTTGGTGCACTCCTTGCAAGGGTAGATGCATCACTTTTGCAATGTTGACCTTGCGTAACGTCATTTATGACGTCATTAGGGTCATATTAGTTTTTCGTCAATAACTCCCGATCAAATTGAGCTAGCGAGCCGAGAAAGCCACCAACGGACTCAGAAAGACATGCCAAATCGAATGATATACAACATGACCTACTTCGACTGATTTCGTGACCTGGGGGTGCTGACCTGACCGTGACCTGAGGTCAACACCCCAAGTTGACCTCACCCAAACAAAAACCTATAGCATTCGACGCGCCTTGGCGGGGCAAACACGATGCTGCCAAAATCGCGGCTCTGCGACCGTTTTTTGCGAAGTTATTCACCAAAAACTGAGCCGTACCTTGAGGCACTTGACCTGACCTCAGAGGTCACCGGTTGACCTAGGACCTTAAAATCGGGTATCAATCTCTGCGCCTCGTAACGGCGCACACGCTCGTTTTTTCCGCGACGCGCTAGCTCCACCAGGGGAGAAACGGCGAGGGGGGTCGTACCCGTCCCCCCTCGGCCGCCGCGTATATAGAAAACCAATAGGTCCGGCGAGGGTTAGTGTTATTACGGTTAACAAAGGCCTATAAAAACCACTTTTTAAACACTATAGGGGAGGCGTAGACATCCCAGTACACATCTATGGAGTCAGTGGCTTTTACTAGCGACTACACTGTCCCATATGATGACATATTTACTGACAGAGCTGACAGTCCCACAGCGCAGCTCGACGATATACTGACGGTCGAATATCGCCCAGCCGGGCGATACGGCGATACGCCGGTGAAATGATCGCCCGCTAACGGCTCCCACCTCTCGCCTAGACGAGCCGCACGCGCCACCGAGCTCCTAACGGGCAGCGGTAGAAACCTGGCGGGGATAAATCAGTTCCACCAGCTCAATTCATGGCCATGAGTTGTGCAGTGCGTTGTGCGATTTGCAGCGAGCTAGGCTAGAGCCTCCGTAAATTATCAAAACAATAATGCCGAATATTTGAACCCGGCAGGCGGTGGACCTCCCGGCCACTTTCCGCGCGATGGAGGGGAGGGGTATTTTTGCCCCCCCCCCCCGGCCCCCCCCCCGTATCACCGAAACTACCAAGCTCATATGTTGCTATTAGTGGTCACTGATAATACCAGGGCAGGTCACAGGGCAGGTCACCAAGGATCAGCACATGAACCCAATTATAGGTACTAGGGTTGTTCGATGCAAGTTTATTGTCAATTTTTCATTTCCGATTCAATGGTGTTGGTTATAAGACCATCAGGAACGGTTTAGGTCACTTCAGTTCCTGGACTGGTGGAGGTCAGGTCAATGCTAGCTCATAAAAGGTAAAAGTTCAAAGTTGATATTTTTCATTAAACCGGTATCGATTCGATGCCGCTCGTCACGGCGAGTCTCATGCCTGAAACAAACTCTTTCCGCAGTCAGGAAATTGCATGCGAGAGCCTATTCAAATACATGGAAGCACGCTCGCATCAATCGTACGCACCTCCCGGATGCAATTGATGCGGGAAAATTATAATGTATTTGAATTGGCTCTCGCATGCGATTTCCTGAACGCAGAAAGAGTCTGTTTCAGCCTTAACCCTCGCGGGCCCGGGGGGCGTTTTTCGCCCCCCCCCCCCCCTGCAGATATTTGCGATAGCTCCCGAACGCTTAGGGATAGGAGAGCGAAACTTTCATTACCTTTTTTCCATCAATTTGACATCTTCTGAGGTAAAACATTTGGACAAAGCCCCTTTGATGACGTCACAGGGTCGATTTTTCTAGACCCTGCACGGTAAACTTCGGCGTCACAGACGGGAACGTCAAATGGCTGCTAAAAATAGACCAATGGCGGAAAATGACGTCACTCTGACGGTATATGCTGCCAACCTATGATAACATTTGGAAAAAAAAATGCTCCCGCCTCCCAGTGTGTGAAATTGATGCCCTGCAGGGTACTGAATGTTTGGTGACGATCGTCGTAGCGGTTCTGGAGATATATTGAACAGGCTGAGGGGGGGGGGGTAAGAAATGCCCCCCCCCACCTGGAAGGTTAAGTAGATGGTATTTTTACCGTAGCTGTCATAAAATATAAAAAAATAGTACATTTTTTATGTAAAAACCAACATTTTTCCTTTTTGCAGGAGAAAGGCAGTACTTACTGGCACCCACATCCCCCAGGGCGCCTGTGTCCCAGACCGCTATCGGTCACGCCCGGTGACCCGAACGCTCCACTATCCGCTGAGGTCACAGGTCACGGCGCCCACAGGTCACCCGGGTCACACACGGAGAGGGAGCGGGCACGACGCGACACACCCTGGAGCATCCCACAGTGGGGCCTTTGGGTAAGGATCTGAACTACATCTTAACCCACATCCATGACTTGTTTTATAATAGAGGCAACACTGATCGTGACAGCGTGGTAAGAAAATCAAGGAAAAAATCACGGAAATAGCCTGCGTAATAAACCTACGTATAGTTCTAATAAGACTAATATATTAAGTTACATCGACTGTGCGGAGTGAATGTGAAAACATCTATTTTGGAACGTTTTGGGCCCAAAACCCTACCTTGCGTCCCAGACACCTTTACAAACGGATTCTATAGATAACGATAAGAAGAGCTGATAACGAAGGTGCATTGGAGGTTTAGCTATTGTATGCTATGCAGAGTCTTATGCATGTTATATAAAGTAGCGATTCAACGATGAAAATTACGGTGTGCACGATACTCATTAGTTCATTCCACCTTTCAATGGTTGATAGTTTAAGTGGTCATGGAATCGTTGGCTTCATAATGCCTAAGTCATTGAAATCAGGGTCTATAGACTCTTTAGTGCCCTGGGTCTATATTGCTGAAGTGCTATGTTTGAATCATATGATCAAGTAATATGCTCGCCCAGTCCGCTGACCATTGTCATTACCGGCTAAGTGCAGTCATTCAACTGCACTGCTTTGTTGGTGCTCGATATGCACGACGTCCTCCTTAGCAACCAACGACTACCTGTCGTGAGAATAGCCTTCGAGCAGGACTGTACTGATTACTGTACTGATTGTACTGTACTGATGCGGCTGTACTGATTCAGGGGGTGTTGCTATGTTAATGGGTACGCCGTAGGAACGGACAGATACAATGCAACATGACAAAGTCAGTTGCCTTGCACTTTCAAGTGATCTGATTTAGTGTTTCGTTTAGTGAATGAGAATAAATCACTAAATTGCCCTCCAGTGCCATACTCAGCAATCTATTATACAACAGCATCTAAACGAACGGCACGTAGTCAAAGCATGGTATCAACGCTATTCGAAGGGCACCACTTTGCAATGAGCCACTTGCAGCCATGGCCCGGCCGGGAGCGGTACTGCTGCTGCTCCTGGTGACGTCAACAGCCGCGGTCCGGTACCGCTGGCTGGACCCGGTGTCCCTCCACGGTCCGGCTGTACAGATACTCTCTGCCGATTCTAGATTTTTATGTGCGCTTCAGTGTGAAGCCCTGTCATCAGGAGAGTGCACCGGCTTCATCTACGGGCCCGATGACGGCACGTGCCGGCTGTTCTCTGGCGACTGCCGCGGTCCGGCCGTTGTCAGCTCTCAACATACCACTGAACGCTACATGGCTCGTGATACGTGTCCTGGTGAGAAAACTAGCGACTATGGGTTAACAGGTTTTTATACTAGAGTGACAGGGCAGGATTGTCGGGCCCGTCAATGTGAATCAACTGGGCTGTTATTTGGAAGATAAGCAGGTGCACTTCGCCGTTCGCGTCCAACCCTCGCACTTAACCCGCAGATGATTGAAAGTGTGTGTGTGTGGGGGGGGGAGGGGGCTCAAAGCAGTCATCCTTCCAGTTTTCCAAAATGTGCAATATCATCTAAACCACTTGACGTTTCCACACGAAACTTTCAGTACCTTCGGCTGTATTGATTTGACACCTCTTGTTTGAACAGAAATTAGATCTTATTTCAAAGTCGATATTTTTGCATTAAATGGATATTTATTCGATGCAGCTCGTCACGGCTAGTCTAATGGTGGTCTTGGTTTTGCGCTACGTGATCTAAAATTGCTAATAATTGAGTTTGAAGATTTGACGTCATCAATTTTGAAGTTTTTTTTTCGCCTATAAGTTGGCCAAACAAAGAGGTATCGATATAAGATTTGGTATGTGAATAGAAGTCGGTTGAGACTTTCACATTTATTCCGTTTTTTTTCGGAAGCCTTTTGGATTTTTTGGCTATCATATACAACTATTTTATTTTTGGGGGGCAAAATAAAAAATCACAATTTTGAGGTAGCGTATTAGCAGCCCTGGTAGGTAATTCTGCACCTTAAGTTTTAAACGCTTTTTTGTATCTTTAAACCTATAGGCTTGACAGCGCTTCCCGCGAAACCTTTGTTTTTGACGAAAACGGCAGAACATGACGTCACTCTGACGTCATTTGCAGCCAACCTATCATAGCTTTTAGAACAATGTTTGATCACAATGTATAGAATTGATGTCCAGGAGGGCACTGAAAGTTTGGTGACGATTGACACAGCGGTTCTAGAGATATATGGAAAAGTCTGGAGGGTGGGGGCAAAAAATAGCCGCCCACCACCACCACGTGCGGGTTAGGGCTATCCAACACCGTCTGCTGCTTGTCGCTATGTTGCATGGTTCTAGAGATCTTAGGGGGCCGGGGGCAAAATGCCCCCCCCCCCCATCAGGGCGCGTTGCTCGGCAGACCCCATCAGGGCGTGGGTTAAGACGTTATAACAGGTCCCGATTTTCCCGTCTTTTGGGTCATGGCCCTGACCTGGAAGGTCAAACAATGACCTAGGACCTTAAAATATTGTATCACCGGCTTCCTCTTGTCACGTGCAGCACGCTCGTTTTTTCCGCGAAACTCTAGCTCAGTCGATCAGGGGTGAAACGGCAAGGCGGGTCCAACGGACCCCCCCCCCCCCCCTTCCTTCTTGTGCGTTCGCGGCTGGCAAAACACCAATACGGGCGAGGGTTAATCAGCGTCGTTAAAATCCGAGTTGCAACAATTTTGTCTGTGTAAATTTATAGAGTATGTATCTATTGTTTTGTGTGTGTGTGTTTTTTTTTTAAGGCGCGTCTAATAATGTCTATGCTATGGCTGATATTGAGTTATCTATATTTGTCAGGTGTTGTATCGGACCGGTGCGCCTGTCCGGCCGGCTTCAGCCGCTGTGCCGGCCGCTGTCTGAAGCGACTGGACCACAAAGTCAACTACACCGAGGCGGAGAGCCAGTGCGCCGCGCTGGGCGCCCACCTGGCCGTGCCCCGCTCCAACGAGGAGAACCAGTGCGCCATGGACGCCACCCTAGGAACTAATCTCTGGCTGGGCATCACCGACGTCGTCACCGAGGGCCAGTTCGTCGGCGCCGACGGCTGTGGCACCGTGTCGTCCTCGAGTCCCTACTGGGCCAACGGACAGCCCAACAACCTCAACGATCAGGATTATGGGCTTCTGGCTGTTGAGTGGCCAGCTAACGGCTGGCATGATGTGCCAGCGCATGCGCAGCATCGCCCATTCTGTCAGCTGCTAGCCTGTTATCAGCACGGCTGCCAGTGAAGCAGATCTTGGAAGCCTTAGCTGCTCATGAGATAGTGTCATCACTCCTAAGTTATTTTCCAGAAAGGCGCTGGTTTGAAATTCCGAGATATACAAAATACAAATTGTAGCTTCTAAAGACATCGTTATATCATACAACTTCTAAAGAACTCCGTCATCTGACGCAGCGGCAAATCTGCAATAAAAAAGGGATTGAGGTCGGGTCATTTGAAGTGTCCTGGTGACTTAACCTTGAAAGGAAGAAGGTTTAAACTTGCACGCAATGTGTAAAATTGATGGAGAAATATTGATGCCAAATTTCGCGCCGTGGTTTCCCACTATTTACGAAAAAACCTCAGGCCCCCCGTCGTTGCGCGGGTTAAAGGGAATAGTTCACTTTCCCGAAATTCGTTTTTGCAATGGATTTAGGAATTTTGTATGCTCAAAATGATCAGCCAAGAAAACAACATCTTTTTATGAAAAAGACCGTATCTAATCTATCCTTATCCTTATCTATCCATATCTAAATATTGGAAGAATTATATGATATGTCAAATATTGTTTGACGAAGACACTTATTACGCGTTGACCAACCATATTGCGTAGTACAAACCCATTGGCTCTAAAAGCAGCATGCTGATAGGCTAACGATGACGTAGCTGCATTCCTGAGCAAGGCAATCTTTTCGGAACGAGAAATGAAATATCTTCGTCTAGGGTGATCGTTGGGCCGTAAAAGCTTCCAATATGTGCTAGTCTCAGCTCAAGCTACAAAACATATTCCAGTTAAAACCCCCATGTTAAAGTGAACTATACACTGTAAAAAATATTGACTAGCCCCTCGTCAAATGATTCTCAACGCTAAATGTCGGGGGTACAGACTAGTTTTGCATCCTACTTTTGACACACGCTGCGAGCCCCTGGCTTGTTTTGTGTTCGTCAGATGACAGTTAACAGGTGTCGGTTAGTTTTTACCACGTCCCAAAAATAGCTGGAGCGTTTCTGCCTTGTTTTGGAAGCAGGTCCTCGTTAATGCTGTGTGTGATAACAAAGTACCTAGCAACAATAATGGCGAAAAACAATGTCAAAACGAGGGCGGCTTGTTTAGTGACGATGTTCAAAAGAAGCACCGTCTTGTTCCTACTTAACGAATGAAGCCCAAACTAGGTCAAAACTAACGTATTGCTATACATTTGAACCCCACGACGAACCCCCAACTAGGCCCTAATCAACCCATAGTCAGATGACCAGCAGATCCTACGGCGCCCAATCCAGTCATCGAATTTGCCAGCGAATTCGTTTGAAGACCATCATATTCTTAAATATCGGTGGTCTTCAAACGAAATCCCTTACCGGTTTGATGATGAATTCATCCGGCCCATTCCAAAAACGCTCAAGATAAAATGAAAGTGTATTTCTGAAATAATGTGCTTTCTTGCAATGCACCTTTCGTATATCAAGCGAACATTTCACTTCCAGCGCCCGTTTACAGTTATCAATCGAATCAGAAGCATGCACATATCGATAGATCTGAACCTAAGAACACAGAAGACATTTTGTAGAGTACCTGTCTGAGCCTATGCAGTGGAGCCCGTGAGCCGCCCAACCGCAGCTGCCTCATGAACTTGATGATAAGTCTGAACCTCAGATTGGCCAGAGCTTGGCCGTCAATAACCAGCTTATTTATATCCACAGTTGTAGTGACTTAGGGTTTGGAATTTGCCAAACCTAAGTTTTGATTACCAAGAGAAGTTTTGTACTTCTTGCACTTGCCTTTTCTTCATAACTTTGGCGGAAATCGTCGTACACTGAAAAAAATAATGACACCTAAAAGGGGTGTTTTTTGAAGCGTACCAAAAACGCGCAGTTTTCTGGAGTCCGATTACACCCGGAATCAGACACTTTCTAGGGTATTATGACACTGGTTGAGGGTGTATTTTAACACCGTAGGTCGTCAAATGATTCCCGGAATCATACGCCTTATGGAATAAAAATACACCCCAAATCAGAGTCATAATACTCTAGGAAGTGTCTGAAGTGTCTGATTCCGGGTGTAATCTGACTCCTGGAAACTGCGCGTTTTTGGTACGCTTCAAAAAACACCCCTTTTAGGTGTCACTTCAGGGAGTAATCGGATCTTGAGGGTGTATTTTGATCCCACACGGTGTATGATTCCGGGAATCATTTGACGACATGTGGTATAAAATACACCCCAAATCAGAGTCATAATACTCTAGGAAGTGTCTGAAAAGTCTGATTCCGGGTGTAATCTGACTCCTGGAAACTGCGCGTTTTTGGTACGCTTCAAAAAACACCCCTTTTAGGTGTCACTTCAGGGAGTAATCGGATCTTGAGGGTGTATTTTGATCCCACACGGTGTATGATTCCGGGAATCATTTGACGACATGTGGTATAAAATACACCCCAAATCAGAGTCATAATACTCTAGGAAGTGTCCACGAACCCTAACTCTAGCCGTCTGTCCTGTCCAGTAACGACCGATAACATTGATATCGACTGTCGGTCCGTGTACAAGAGCAGCTGAGGTTTTCTGTGCGTGCCCTCTGACAGCTTTTCGTTGTTCCCTGTGAGGGTGCTGGGACAATTTACTCAGGGTCGCTGTACAGTATAGCAACTGCGGGTCCCCGTACAACTAACCAACATACCCATGGGTATGTTCTGCTTCTGAAGCTTATAGGAACGATTAGCCAGACTGCAACGAGACTTTAAATGTAGCTTACATGTGTCTTCACCCTTGCAGCTACAATTTTATCTATTGACGATGACGTCTTCTTTTCAATCAGTCTTTATACCAGATATTGTCAAATGATTCTCGGAATCATACACCTTATGGGATCAAAATACACTCTCAAACAGAGTCATAATTGCAGTTGTTAACCACGTGACGCAAATAACAATACATGTATGTCATTCTTTATTTTATATGCAACAATAAATTCCAAAACATTTGGGCACGAAATGTATGGCGAAATCTAATGAAAACTTATCGTAAAGCTCATGGGTCCGTGACTCCATTCACCGTAAGGAATTACTCACATTTCAACAATGTCAATGTTCCATCAACCGGTGATTATTGCTACTTACTTAGGTAGAGTTATTCTGCTGCTTAATGACATAAAAACTTACCTCCGTCTCCATGGGGCGTTGCTATCTTGTCCTACTTCAAAATTTCGCCGAGTGCAGGGCGCCTCGTTATTTAAATACGCATGTTGAGCAAACTACAAATAAAATCTGAAGTCTATCGTTAAAGCACTATCACTTGAAGTAAATCTACACTTTAAACAACGTTTGGCGACATTACAAGCGCGTTAATTCAAATAAGTTCCTCTCCCCGCTCACACCACACGCACCCACGTGGGCACACTTCCGGCAACTGAAGTCAACGGCTTTCCTAACGGTTTTCCTGCAAGGTCGAGCTATTTCATCTTCGTGGCGGACCGGCATGGCTAGAACACAAATGACGTCACACGACAATGCAGCTTGCTGATTGGCCGGCCATTGACTCAAACCACTGGACCTGAGCTGTGGTTCGCACCAGGGTTACAGAGTCAGAGTCAGAGTTGGGTGGAGTTGACAGAACTGTGGCCGGAGTCAGAGTCGGAGTAGACTTTGGAAGCCGGTACTGGAGTCGGAGTCTGAGTCACCGAAAATCAATTGATACCGCAGCGTATCCGGACAAATCTTTGCATGGCATTTCTTCGTCGCGCAATTCTTCGTCCGCAAAACTTCGTCCGCTCATTTCTTCGTCTCCGCCTTTCTTCGTCTTGCATTTCTTCGTCTCGCATTTCTTCGTCTCGCATTTCTTCGTCTCGCATTTCTTCGTCTCGCATTTCTTCGTCTCGCATTTCTTCGTCTCGCATTTCTTCGTCTCCGCATTTCTTCGTCCGCGCATTTCTTTGTCTCGCATTTCTTCGTCTCGCATTTCTTCGTTTTGCATTTCTTCGTCTCGCATTTCTTCGTCTCGCATTTCTTCGTCTCGCATTTCTTCGCCTCGCATGTCTTCGTCTTGCATGTCTTCGTCTTGCATGTCTTCGTCTTGCATGTCTTCGTCTCGCATTTCTTCGTCTCGCATTTCTTTGTCTCCGTATTTTTTCGTCTCGCATTTCTTCGTCCGCACATTTCTTCGTCTCCGCATTTCTTCGTCTCGCATTTTTCCACAAATCTTCGTCCGCAAATTGACAGTGCAGCCTGCTGATGGGGCTATTGCCTATTTCATCTTCGTAGCGGACCAGCCATGGCTAGCACCAAACATGTGCATGGATCCGAGCGATGGATCTATGATCTCAGTGGATCTCGAAGCAAACTGCAGGTAACAGGTTAGAATCTATGATCCCATCGGATCCGTCGTGAAAAACTCATCTTGGATCTATGATCTCATACGATCTGACGATAAATCAAGAACATGGATCTATGATCTGAGTGGATCCCACCATGCACAACATTTGAAACCATGTTTTAAAGGGTTTCTGTATCAATAAGTGCCACAAAACTATGGATTATGACGTGCGAGCACATAAAATCACTCAAACAGAACGGTTATGCGTTGCAACAAGTGTTTTTTTTTATTTCTGTGCTGACAAAAAATAAGTGAGGATCTATGATCTCACAGGATCTCAAGCAAAAAATGAGACTCGAATCTGTGATCCCTACGGATCTCTCGATAAATTTGAGAGCTGGATCTATCGGTTCCCCCCCTTAATTGAAGATGTTCCGCCGCTATACTGCTATCATGAACCCTATGGGTGTCATTTCACTCAGTTGAGCGTTTTCGTAATCCGTGACTCGCTTATTAGGTGTAATTTGACCCTCAGTGGTGCCATAACATTTCCGGTGTCATTTGAACCCAATGGGGCTCAAATGACACCGGAATATTATGACACTACCCAGGGTCAAATTACACTCAATAAGTCATTTGTACGGAATATTATGACACCACTGAGGATCAAATTACACCTAATAAGGGAGTCGTGGATTGCGAAAACGCTCAACTGTGTGAAATGA